TATATACTGTAGTACAGATCAGACCAGGATTTGAAATTTTAAAAATTCTTCTGGAATTGTTTCCATTTATGATCATTAGACTTCAGAAATCAGGTTTACAAAGGACTCAAGGTGCTTAATCAGACAATTTGAATTGTATACAGTATTTTGCAGAATATTATTATCTGGAGAAATAAATGTATCACACAATAGTGTATTTTACTTAAAATAATATTTTGTGGTAATTATTTGTTATACAGATGGTAATTTAATGAATGAGTAGATTAAAAGAAGCTAAATTACTAAAAATTGTCTTTATAAGCTAATACAAAAAGCAAAACCAAATAGTCAAATGTCAACACAGTGAATTTAATTGAAAAATGTATTTGTGAGTGGGCATTTTTATCTTTTTCCCCATTGCAAGTTTGAAAGATTTCATAGCGTTCATATGCACGTGTCTGGTGAACTGCAGTTGAGGCTATCATCACTGATGATGGTGTCTCAAAAAACACCATAAAATTTATTCTTGATTGTTTTTGATCTTCATGTGCTGAAAATCCTTTTCTGCCTGTTGCATCCAGAGGCCTTTAAAAATGTCTAAAAAAGGTAAATTCTAAATGAAAGGATACAGAAAATAATTATTGACACTCCCTGATAATTTGAACATGTGTTACAGCAAAGCAGTGATGACTTCTTTTCAAAATGATGTCTGTCATATTTCTGTTTACTTAAATGTGTCTACCTAGTTATCTCCTGTCAATACAGTGTAAAATAATCCTTGCATAACTGAATAAAGCAGCTTATGTGGCAGCAACATTGATTGCACCCTATAATTTCAATGCATGGCGAAAGTAGGGTTTTATGGATTATACATACAGATAATGAAAAGGTACACTATGTCCTGAACTCAGCAGAGAATATACAATCATACTGATGGAAAATACTGTATATTGTATAGTCTGAAACAACATACAGTTTATATACTGTCTAGTATTTATTGGCTACTTGCTGTGCCATTTTGTTCTCACATCAGCGCCTGACCTACAGTAGGTTGTGATGTGCAGGCACTTATTCTCTTCGCTATCTCATCCCACTTGTGTTTCTTCTCGCTGTTCTCGCTGCTGCATGCCTTAGTCAACAACAACACTCTGTTGTTGTCAGTCTCATCTAAAAGAAGAACAAGCTCTTTAGAAAAGTGTGGTTTTCTTCTCTGGCATGTGACCGTCATTTCTTTTGCGTTCGTCTTAGAAACGATAGGTGTCCGAATGTGTGCCTATTTAGATGCTTCAATTAATCGGTAATTAAATTATGGTGTCATGTTTACTTTCTAATACTTTTCGCAACATTATTTCATCCCACTGAAGGACCAAGGATGACACAATATATTGAAAGTATTGTCAATTAATTGTTCTTCAATCAACTTGTGATGCTTTTTGCTAAGCGACTTTAGGGGCAGGACTAACAAAGAAGTACTTTATATTCGCTCGTAAAATGACCCATTAAGAGGGGTTTGGGGAAAACATTAGAAAAAGTAGCACGTACGTTACGTATGTACATCATAAAGTTACTCGTTAATCTCTAAGACTCATCATTTTCGGGAAACTCACCCCAGATTGTCAGAATGGATTTTAGTAATTTTAGCTTCATACAGTAGTTTAACATCCATTGCATATCATAAAAGATTCCTATGAATTGGACTATCTGGTCGTCCCCATATTTTTATTCCCATAAAAGTAACTTGTAAGCAGGAAAATAATAGTACTGTCAGATTCAGTGATATACAGTATGAAAAGACATTCTGTACTACTACTACCAGCACATTTTTAATCCTTCAAGATGACATAGTTTGCTGGCAGTAAATCAAGCATGAAGATCTGTACTATCTATGAATGTGGGTTTAAGAACACTCGAAAAACCTATTATATTGTAGCGTTTACAGGTTCTTTTCAGAACAAAAGAACAGTGGAAACATGATTAACAAACCAAGCGCTAGCTTTATTCATAAACAACCACACAAAACCAAACACAGGATATACATGCACATGAGGAGACTGACGGAACACGTACACATCATTAGGGTGGTAATTACTTAACAACACACTATACTTTTACAAGACTACACAGGGCACTAGAACTACTAGGACATTATTTACACAGGTAGGGTCAGCCGCTGGTCATCGTGCTGACCCTCAGACTCTCCCCAGCTACCACTCCCAGCATGCCCAGCGGTACTACAAGCGCCTAGGGGCACTTCCTCCTCACCACCAGGCGAGGGCGTTACAATATGACAGCTCATATGCAAATATGTCTGAACTGTCATACAATAGGTTCTGAACTGTTGATTTCCTGAAAACTGCAAATGGATAACAGAGATTAAAAAGGTTTTATTGTGAAATCACTCAAACACATTAATAGCCTGTTAGAATGAGACTTTATCTAACATGGTGGCAAATGATAACCTTATTGAGCTGCTTTAATTAATTTAATTTGTTTTAATAAACTCTCCTTCTCAAGAGGGATGTTTAATATAAAGGGAAAGTGAAATCTAATTTTCCCGTTTGAGGCTATTTACTACATAGGAAAATTCATGATATCTGAGGCATATACTGTACACATGGGAAAGTTCCTCATGCAAAAAAGTAAGCATGATCAAAGAACTAATCTTATCTAATGTTAGATTTAAGATATATAGGTAAATAATCAGATTATGCAATTCATACAGAAAATGGGGAAATATGTTCTGAGGGTTATTACAATGGAGCTAATGCTATCCATTTTTTATCAGTATCATTTATTCAAACATGCTCAAGATGCATGCATGCTCAAGGTTTCTATGGGGAAGATACAGTAGGTTACAGTTAATGACAGCAAGAAACAAATAATAAAATATGATGATTTCCAATTTATTCAGACCCATGAACTCAACATTTGGTGGAACCAAATTGTTGCAGGAATTACAGTACACTTGTCTTTACCAACTTTGTTCTCTGGTTTGGAATAATGTTTCCCCTTTTGTGAGGGAAATTAGCTCAAGGTCCCTCAAGTTGCTTAGGAATCACTTATAGATATCAGCTTTTGAGTCTTTCTAAAGATTTGTAATAAGATTTATGTCAGGACTTGCTCATGGACATTTAATTTCTCGTACTTAAGCTACTCCAGTGTAAGTTTGACCTTGTGCTTTGGATCATTCTCCTACTCTAAGGTGGATTTTTGACCAAATTGTAGGTCTGAAGCAGGTTTTCCTTTAAGATTTGCTAGTACTGTGCTCCACTTAATAATAATTATAATAATTGCTGGACACTCCACTCAAAGCGCTTTACAGGTAATGGGGACTCCCCTCCACCACCACCAATGTGCAGCATCCACCTCATGAATGACAAGCTTTCCAGTCCCTGCAGATGTGAGGCAGAACTGGTGCTCCCAGCACCATACTTGATAGCAGGGATAGAGCTGACTGGGTTGTTGGATATGTTGTTTGTGTTAAAATGTACATTTAGTATTTCGATTAAATAGTTCCAATTTTGTTTTGTCAGATGAGAAAAAACACATTTTGTGATAATTTTGCATTATCACTTAAATACTTTCCATGCAGGATTGGCAATGCTGTTTTTTTTCAGTAGTAGCTTTTTTCTTGATACTCTGGCATATAAGCCAGCTTTGCCTCATGGAGATTTTCGCCCACCTCAACCATTGAACTCTGTGAACTTTTTCAAAGTCTCTGTTGGATTCACAGTTGAATCCCTAACCAGTTTCCTCCTTGCCCAGCTGCTCAGTTTGGAGGAAGAGTCTGATATAGTTATAGTCTGGGTACTACATACACCTTTTTATTAATGATGACTTCACTGTGTTCAAAATTCTTTGAATTTTTTTAGTGCTCTTTACAATCTTCAACATTTTCCAATTAGTTGTTTTGAAAGTTCATTAGACTTTATGGTTGAATCTTTGCTTGAAATTCACAACCTTCCTGAAAGACTTTCAGAAGTAGATTTATTTGATTTAAAACCATGAAAATTACTTTTATTGCAGATAGTGCCCACTATATGAATATTCAGCTTTTGACCGAATAATGAACGAGTGGATTACTAGTACAAAAGAAATGGAAAAACAAATAAACTTCTAGAGTGGATATTAAGACAGAATTCTGAATTCTAAAGAAAATTAATGGAGACTAAAATTGAGAGAATCACTCCAACATTGCAAATACTGTACATCATGAATTAGTTTGGAGAAAGTTAATATTTTTGTGGAGATTAACAATATTTGTTATTAAGATAGTGATGTTTTAGTGCTTTACAAAAACATACATTTCGAGTTGGAACTGCAGAGTAAAAACCTGTAGCAAATATATTCCTATCAGGTAGAGTTATCTACCTGCCAGCAGCCATATCACTCTGAAACTCACAACTGGCAGCCCACTGAAGCTAAACAGGTGTGAGCCTGGTCAGTACCTGGACCTCCTGGGAAAAACTAAGGTTGGTGCTGGAAAAGGTGTTAGTGAGGCCAGCAGGGGGTGCTCACCCTGCGGTCAATGTGGGTCCTAGTGCCCCAGTGTAGTGACAGGAATAGTATACTGTAAAAAGCACTGTCCTTTGGATGAGACGTAAAACTGAGGTCCTGACTCTCTGTGGTCATTAAAAATCCCAGGGCGTTTCATAAAAAGAGTAGGGGTGTAACTCTTGCGTCCTGGCCAAATTTCCCATTGGCCTTTACCAATCATGGCCTCCTAATAATCACCATCTATGAATTGGCTTCATTACTCTGTTCTCCTTCCCACTAGTAGCGGATGTGTGGTGAGCGTAGTAGTATTATTAACTCTTAATAGGTAGTGACCACAGTCTCAGGACCATAGCCTCTCAGAAAGGCTGTCTTGCAATATCACAAAAAGCAAAAAATGTCAACCAAAAAACATTAGGTATATTAGAACGGAGAACTGAATCCAAAACTCCGATAGACATACTGTTTGTTATCATTTTGTTGTATACAGGTGTAAATATTAATGTTAAATACTGTTTTTTTTGCAGATATCATTCTAGGCCTAATCAACATCTGCATTGACAGAAACATGAAATCAGCGTGTCTTTCTCTGCTATTGGTCACAGTTTGCTGGGCTCTGCCCTTCCGTCAGTCAGGTTTTCTTGATTTCATGTTTGAAGATGGCTCTGGAGATATCACCCCAACTCCAACTCTTGATATGCAACCACCTGCTGGACCAGTTTGTCCCTTCAGATGTCAGTGCCACCTTCGGGTTATCCAGTGCTCTGACTTAGGTAAGCTAGTCATAGAAGAATATTAATTTTTGATACCATTCTGTTAAAAATATATACAATACTTGTAAATTCTATATATAAATGTATGTATATGTTATATACTCCAGTGCTCTGAAAAATTGATGTTCTACAATGATACAGTATGGATAGTTATCACAATGAAACTACACCGAATTTTGCAGATCTGTGAGTTCATTTAAAGATTGAATATCCATGTTAAAAGAGCCTTCATTGTCTAAAATGGAAATTGCTCAACTATTCAACATGGTGGCAAAAATCCTAATTAAGATGGAATAAGGGAGTAATTTGAATTTGTTTACTTTACTGTCTTAAATTGCTGAGAAAACAGCAATCTCATGGATAAGAATGTGTCTGTTGGAAACCCTCCTCTTTTGCAAGGAATGAGCTAGGGAGCTGCCTTCAGATTGATGGTGGAGTGAAGGGAAGGACGCAAAATGATAATGCATTAGTGGGTATGCTAGAATCATGACACTTATATATACAGTAGATGAGCAGAAAAGCAGTAATGTAGGCTAGGTTGACTCCCCCCTGATCTTTCATTTAAAACTCCATTAAGTCCTATTTCTGGAGCTTTGTGATTTAGCAAAATGTAAGTGTGGTAAATTTAGTTATTTATGGGTTTTATGTCTATCAGTTTACTACAGTTTATCTACAAACCTTTCACTATTCACAGAGAATATCTGTCCAATCAATTTTAAATGTATTTTATTTTGGTGGTACAGGAGCACACGGGTTAGCATCATTGCCTCAAAGCACTGAAGCCCTGGGTTCAATTCCGGACCTGGGGTGCTATCTGTGTGCAGTATGTTCACAATCCAAACACATACAGGGACAAATAAATTCCACACAGATAGCACCCCAGGTCCAGAATTGAACGCAGCACCCCAGCGCAGCAAGGCAGCAATACGGCAATGCAAAACAAAGATGTCACCGTGCATTATATATTTTTTCTATTAAATAAAACAAATTTATCCTGTTATTGTTATTGTTTTCCTCCTCTTTCATGTAAGTCTGCCAGATTGCTATTTAGTAATTTGTTTATTTGTATAAACAACAAACACAGTACAACATTCTCTATCTATGGCTGGCAACAGGGAAAATATTTTTTTTCTGATTGTGTTTTCAAAAAGCATAGCTATTATAAGAAAAAGTGAAACAGTTCATACAGCTCTTATACACTTAAAAAACAGGGGTGGGGTTTGAGGTTGGAACTGGGTATTAAGCTAGGGAGCTGCAAAAGTTAGGAAGTTCCATTACCACACATGAGTCATGCTGCAGGATCAAAGAATATAGTTCCCAGGGGCAGCTCTGAATTAGACAATCTTAGACAATGCTGTCTTCAATGCACCTCAGCACAAATCTTTTCTACAGACCTTCTAGATTGTGTTTATTGTCTAAGGGCGGGAGGGCTGCCACTGCATTTTTTCAGTCAGAAGGCCAATGAAATCAGCCCAAGTGTTCAAGGCCTCATTTCAGTTTTCAGGAATGATCTAATTCAAGTTATATTTTAAAGGACAGTAAAAACAAATACCAAAAGGAAATTAGCAGCTTTTTCTTTTATTTTTTAATACTGGGAAAGCCTATAGTATCTCATTCTACACATTTGAAAACCAAAATATTTACTCCAGTCACTTCTATAAAACCATAACTTTAGTTTTTTAATTTATTTTTACACATCATAAAGCATTTTGCGGGCATTTTTTTATTTCCATGTGTGCCACTGGATGAAAGTATCTACCTGTCTCCATCCAAAACTTTTAAGATCTCTTAATCTCTCTGTTTTACTCATATGTGAGCATGTAAGGCACATTTGGTAATATCAGCCTATGTTTTAACTTATTGTTTTATTTTCTGTAGGTCTGAAAAATGTACCAGAAGATATTCCTTCGGATACATCTCTCTTAGACTTGCAGAACAACAAAATCACAGAAATCAAAGAGAATGATTTCAAGAATCTAAAGTCTCTGCATGTAAGTATTGCCTGTAAGCGTTTTGACTTGCTTTCTGTACTCTGTAACAAATGGTATCATTGGCATGGCAACTGGGATGAAAAGGAGCAAAGGACACTGAAATTTACTGAAGTTGCATTTCACTGCCTGTTAGCCAGTGAGTTACTTAGCTGGTCATTGAAGACACAGAGATGAATGGACCAAATTAAGAGTGGACACACCAGAAGGTTGTAAATATAATACTTTATATTGACCTTTTTATGTTTTTTGTGTGTGTGCGTTTTGGCATAAAGTGCAATACCCAACAGGTGAACCTATAAGAACTCCATAAATGAGCTTTGTGTTCTCTTTTCCTTTACATCGTTATACCTCCTGTGCCTACTAGTAATCAAACTCTTATAAACATAAGCTGACCAACACTTAAAATACTAAATGGTACGCAAAAGGAGTGGTGGATTCTAACCAATCCTAGTCCTGTGGCATTTCAACCATTGGTTAAACATAACCTCATTTTCCTGTCTGGCCAGGTGATTGGATGACTGTGGTGTACAGTATATACAGGAAGCTCACTTAGCATTCCTGTTCCCCCAAAGTCACAAGAAGTATAATTGATTCTTCATTAAAGTGTATAAGTCTTTAATTTTTTCCCTTATACCTGTCCATCTTGCCCCGCATACCTTGTCTAAGAGCATGGGTGCTCCCCTCTGCAGCTGCCAGGCATAAGGATTCTTTCTAGATGAATGACTGAGTTTTGCCCCGTCCACAAAGTTTCACAATCAAACTGGAGAAGAACCACCTACTACCAGAGCAGTGGACTATACTCCTGCTTCTACACCTGAAGTCCCATATCTTCAAAACCCCCTAATGCCCCAACAAGATAACTTCTGTTATGATGTGCCTTTCCCATTTTAGTCTGAGGAGAGTGCTAATTACACTATCTGAGTCTGATGATATAGTAGCTCCCACACTGGCCCTACTCCTATGTCTGCTCCCAAAGCACCCAATGCATGACAAACATGGCTGTGCTATACTCTGGCTGGAATGCTCTCTTGTCCAGAGAAGGCCCCATAGCTTTGGAGTGGCATGTTTATTTGTGCTTGCTTTGGGAAGACAGATGTAGATTTCTTTTTTACCTTGCAAGAGTCCAATCACTGCTGTCTGGTTCTCAATCAATTATACAATATATCTCCAAAGCTATGTGGAGAAAGTCGAAAGAAAGCAGGTGCAAGTCAATATGTTGAGAGATTGGTCCTGGTTTGCATAGATTTCCATATCTGATGCACAGAAATCTGAGTCTTGGACATAATTATGCCAATATTTACATCCATCTTAAAGAAGCATTTTATGGGAATGTTTGAGAAAGATATTAAGAAATTTTATTAATGGATTGTTTACTGGTCACTTTTAAAGGTGACTATATTAAAATGTCAAATCACTGCATTTAGATAAAGTTAAATAAGAGATATTAAGATAACTACTTACAAGCTAATGTGTTTTTGCATTCTATGTGTTCATCCAAGGCACTGATTCTTGTCAACAACAAGATCACCATTATTCATCCCAAAGCCTTCGTGCCTCTTATGAAACTGCAGCGCCTCTACCTCTCAAAGAACTTGCTGAAAGACATGCCAGTCAACATGCCCAAGAACTTGCAGGAGCTGCGTATTCATGAAAATGCAATCACCAGAATAAAGAGATCATCATTCGAAGGAATGGTCAACGTTATTGTTATGGGTAAATAAGTATATGAAATGCAACTACTCGAGCAAGTATTAAAACTGAAAAGGAATAATGACATCTAAGAATCAGCTTTGTGAATGTTTATTCAGTATTTTAAGTATAATAGTTTCGACTTAACCTATTTGGTTAAGGGAAAGCACCCTGATAGGACAAGGAGGTTCAGACCCCCATTCAGAGAGAGGAGTTAATCAAACTGCAAAGCTGAAGATGGGATGGAAGTGGGATTTATGGGACAAACTGAGAAAAATACACGTTTTTGTGAGATACATTACATATAGCTATCATCAGTTATGAATATGATTTAGTTGAGTTAAATCGAATAGTTTGTCATTATTTCTCCAGAACAAATGTTAATAACTTACATTTAAAAAAAATAACTCTCAAATCTCTTAATTATCCATCATTAAAGATTGTTTTTTAGTATGTGTTAACTGTGAGAGTGGTTTTCTAAAATACTCTTCAGTTTGTATGCTTTCTGAAGTTTGAGTTTTTTCATGTTACTTCAGAACTGGCTTAGTCCCAAGCATGAGAGAATTTTTCCATCTGAAGAGCAGAGCATCAGAGTTCCAACATCAAAAACTGATGCCTAGTTTTACTTTAACAAACAAGGAAAGCACTATTGACAAAGATTATAAGACATTTTATATAGTGTAATATATTTGGGGAGGAGTAAACTTAATGGTAACATAAATGTTGCCCTTGAGAATACAATTATTTTGATAATACAAGGTATTTACAAGAGAGATCATAAGAAGTAGTAGAGATATGGAGGAAGGCTTTCCTCAAACACATTTAACTGATTTACCTCATATTACTGTACATTCTGAGGAAATTTACATTTATTTATAGTGAACGACTTAGATTAGATGAGACCTATAGATTAGCATGTGAATTCTGCATACAAAGAAAATATGCACAATTCTGTTTTATGGAATAAATATGATCAATATAAGTCTTTAAAATAATTCTGAATATTGTACAACCAACCAAAAAGAAACACTGAAGTCCTCATGAAAACTGAAACTGAAGGACAAAATCAATTTTTTTAAAATCTTATTGAACGTTTACTGAGATGTATGTTGTTGTTTTGTTTTTCCTGTATACAGAGCTTGGCTCTAATCCACTGAAGAGTGGAGGAATAGAAAATAATGCTTTCCTGGATCTCAAAAGGCTGTCATACATCCGTATATCAGATACCAACATCACCTCTCTTCCTAAAGGTATAAAGATTAATACATCTTCATGGTATACTTTGACCTACTTGAGATTTACAAATGCTGTACGTATAGTAATTAGAGCACAGTATTAAAAACTACCATATGTTTATATTAGAAATCAAAGTTTGAGGTGTTTTATGATCTTGTTTTGTCTTTTTGGATATTAAATATATTTATTGACATTTTTAGGAATAAGCAAAAGTATTGTATTACCATCGGCATATGATAAAAGTGTATAATGTTTTATTTATCAACGTACAGCATCCTGTACATTATTTTCCTATTTTATACAGGTATGTTAATATTTTGCCTTTCGTCTTAGGTCTTCCTAGTTCCCTGTCTGAACTCCATCTGGATGGCAATAAAATCTCTAAAGTAGATGCTGACACTCTAAAGGGACTCAAAAATCTGGCTAAGTAATAATATATTCTTGAAACTGCATGCTTTTGAGTACTCATTTCACCCATTTCAGTAATGAAATCATTTGTAAAATAAATATGAGACAAGAGTTTGATACAAATATGCCACCATTTGAGTCTTCAATTTCTAATTGTATGTGCTGAAGTGAACTGTAAAAGAACAAGACTACTCCTAAATTCACCTTAACCTAAACTTCACCTAAACACAAAATATTATTTTTTAAGCAAACATCTACAGAATGTGACTTTCTTAATTGAAGTACAGAAAATGTGAACTTTACAGATTCTTACTACTTTGTGTAAATAGATATTTTTAAAATATTTGCTCGGTTATAACTAAAAAATAAAGAAAAATGAAAAAAAAACATGAAATGGATTATTATAAAAAAATTTAGAACATAAGTTTGAAAAAAAGAGGAGGAAATTTGTCCCATCTGTTTTGTTAAGTTTGTCAATGCCCTTGAGTTTTTTAAACACTTGGATCCCTGTTCAGGATTAAAAACACTCTATTTGCCTGTCAGTAAAGGTCATTCCTTCATGCACTGGGTGTATCTGGTTTCTATTAACTGAACTTATTAAAAAGCTGGAATATGTTTACATGTTGTATCTTGCTGATAAAAAATGTAGACAATATTCTAAATAAAAGTCGTGCTACTATCATTGAGTAGCTTGAGCATAACATCCCGTGTTTGAATGAAATTATACTATTTTAACAATTTATTCTAGCATTACTTGTATTGGTTACCCACATTGCCTAGAAGGTTTAAATTATGTGTTAATGTAAAAAAATAATAATTCATAAATAGCTTCTTGGTTCATTGTTGAACCAGGTTTGTAGTTTTTGTATTTTTACTACTTACATGGACAATTGTACACTTGTTTAAATTAAATATTATTTTCCATTATTTTCCCATTCTCAAATTTGATTTAATTCTTTGTCAGTTTTTAATTGTATTCACTCAATCCTTGTAGTTGACATCATTTATTAAATTCATATATCAATCATTGATATGGCTTTTAAAATGAAAGTTCCAGAGGGACGACAACAGCCAATTTCAATCAGACTCAGCTGTCAGTAATTTATAATCAATCTTCATGTCATTTCCTCACTTAAACATTAGAAATACTACATAGAAACACTACAAGTGAAGCTCTTCTCTCCCTCGCTTACTTCTTTTGCATGGTCACTGCTATGAATCTTATGTACCTGTTTCACTGACACTGCAGCCTCTGCTCTTTCACAATGGATTTTCAAATTTTCTGCTCTGATGAACAGCTTTTTTCTCAGACCAGATATAAAACAAGTTTTTGAGCCTAGTCCACAACTGCTACACTGTCTAGGTCCATTGCTTCCGAACTTCAGCATGCTTCAATGCGTGGTTCTCAGTGTCAAGCATCTATGCCTCAATATGAATTAAGATCTGTAGCAGCCGTTCCATCAGATTCAAAACATCAATCCTCTTAACCATCTCCAGCTAATTCTCCAGCAAATCCCAGCTGCTCCAGTCAAACACAACCTTGCCGTAAAATTTGCAAATCTTCTACTCTCAATTTCAAAACTTCTCCTGCTATCAGAAATTGGGACATAGCAGGACTTCAACAAATTCTTCACAGACATGAAATTCCATTTAAAAGAAATTATTGAAATAAGGAACTGTGCCTTTCCACGATTCACAATGAACAAGTCCCAGTCTTCCAACAAACCTCTGTGGCTCCTGATGATGTTACTTATGATGCTACAGCCCAGTCGGCCACAAGGACCTTCAAGCTGCCTGTGCCTCCATGTACTTAGTCCCTCTGTGTGTCTAGTACATCTACAGTACCTCTTCAATTTTAGAGTTTTCTTTCTCTCAGTTAGACCAACCTGTGTTGTTTCTTGTAATTTTCTCCCTGCTCAGTCTTTTTCAAGGTCTCAAACTCCTCAGCCCCAGGTCCTTCTGGCATCCGAAATTTGGCTCCACCATTATAAGTGGTACAAAAAATCTCTCCTGTCCCCTGTCATCCAAAATAGCTCAGTGGAAGCCCCCTTTCCTCAGCCTATCAGTTCTATTACAGTTTCTCTCATGTGCACCCCACCCTTCAATTTCTCAATTCTCTCATCCAATGTCCTTGATACAGCCAGCAATTTCCCAATTTCCAATGACCTCTCTTGCAGCTCCCATATACAAGTTTCTCCTTCCTTACAATCACTACTATCTCTGCTTATGAGATGTTTATTTTACCTCCTGTTTCCCTCTCTCTCAAACAGCAAATCTGCTTAGGTGCAGATGTCATACTCCACTGACCTCTTCCAAGGCAAAACTGTAGACTGTGGTGTTCTTTCCACCACACTTAAATCTCCTGACCCACATTCCTTTTCCAACCTCACAATTTCTGAATTCTGCTTTCAGTTTCATTATTTTCAGAGATATCATGTGTTCAGTATTTCCAAACTGTCCCCAAGAATGGGAAGATTACATATATATTATATTGGATCTATCCATCAATTTCAGGGGTTCACCTTTTTTCTGAATACCTGAATACCATAAACAATTTTCTGCCGGAGTTGCAGCCCGTTAGCTCCAGTGGAACCAACAGTCTTACTGGCGATCCTGGATACTGACCTTTACTCTTATATTTTCACTCATGTTACAGCATTATCCTGCACCATTTGCTCTTCACAATCCCATTCTACAAACCTCTGCCCTACAGCTGTCACCAAGATTGTCTCCCATCCTTTTACCTTTTCCCCCCTCAATCTCTCTCTGTTAAGCAACAAGTCTTCTTTAAACCAAACCACGTCGGAGATATTTATGTCACGCCCTCTGCAGCCAGAGGGTGCTCCTACTCTGTCCTGTCCCTAGTTTCCTGTGCTTTGCTGCCCTTCCAGTGTCTCTCTCTCTGGGGCTATTTATTTCTGAGTAACTCATTCACCTTCGCTCAACATTGACATTTGGATGTCCTTAGACCCACCTAGCACTAGGTCACCACACATCCGGTGCCTGAGGGCATTGGTTTCTATACGACTCCTGAACTGCTGAGCCCGGGCTAAACCCCCGGTCCGCTGCTATGCATATGGGTCTTTTTCCGCTCTCCTGCCATTCCACGGTTTGTTCCTTCCGACATCCGTGACAATTTACCATTGTCATATTTTGTTAGGTAGAGGACATCTAGTCTGTAACAACATTTTGTTTATCTTCTTGCCAGTTTCTTCACATTTACGGTTTCTGCTGTGAAGCTCATGCTCGCTTTGTGGGTCCCCTTCATTCTTTTGCTACCCCCTCTGCATCATGTACCCCAAATAACCACTGATTCATCTCACTACTGCAATTAGCCCAAGCTGGCTTCTGAATTTATCCATTCTGGATTTAGTCATTGTTTACTCGGTGGCCTTTCATTTGTTTTTATCCTGGCCTGTCTATCCTCTCCACTGCTCCTTTTACTTGCAAAAACTTGTGAGTGACCTCCAACCTCAAGTCCATTGACACCTTTCTTGATTGGCCCTTTTGTTTCACCTCCTTTTCCCACTTACCATATCAGCTTTATTGCAATCACAATTCTTAAATATTCTGGTCTGATAATTGACCTGTCTACCCCCCGTAATTCTTTTGTACCAAGCATCAACACCCAATTCCCTTCATATTGGCACCATTGATCATGCCATTTCGCTTATTAAGAAAGCAGGAGAAGGAGCTATATTTAAGATTTTCTTCAGATTGTCCTCCATCCTTATTAAATTTAAGCTTTGTTATGTGCTGACGAATGTTAAGAGTTCACTTAAATGGATGTGTTAACTGATTTTTTTCACAGCCTTTGAGGATTTTTGAATACTTGAATCAGATATTTTAATAAGATTTTCTTTTAAATTAAAAACATATGGCTATTTTAGCCTTTTAGAGCAAGACATTCCTTTTAGCTCAGGAATAACATTGGCCACTCTTCTCTAAACAGATTTCAGATGTCTTATTTGTGGTAAGAAAAAATGGTGACCAAAATTGAATACGCTATTATAGTTGAGATCTTATTTGTACATAATAAAATGTCTTTCTTTAAATTATGCACTATTAAATATATATCCCAACTCCTGTTAGCTTTTCAATGTATCATAACATTGCACAAGGTTTAAAATACTAAAAAAAAACTTTTACTGTATGAACCTGCTTGCTGTATCTTTGATGAATTTTCTTCTTGATTTGTTTAGTAATATGTTGTTTACTTATGTAAAAATATATTTTTCTCATATTATTTTACACTACAGTTCAACTTAACCTGTACTAATAATGTTTTTTGTGCCTTTTTTGCATTCCTGCATTGTTTAAAAGGTGAAAATGATGTGCCAGTTTAAACACCTGTATCTTTATTCATAGGTAGCTTCTTCAAGTTTAGAGTTTCCCTCTTTTATTTTTGTATATTGCGTGTTTCCATCTCTGCATGCAACACTGTGCACTTGTCCACCTTAAATATCATCAGCCATATGTAAATGAAAAATCCTTCATGGATATTCATGCATGACCTTCTTAACAGTATGTACTAATTGAAAGATGACTTGAAAAGTCCACAGCACAAAATGTTCTGTTTGCACTTGCTCTGTGGTTGTCGAATTTAGTGCTTTTTGTGAATGTAAGTACAAATGTAAGTGTGGCTTTTTGTGTAAAGTGACATTTTTATTGTCACTCCTTGGTATTTATAAGATTTCTAAGGTGGCTTTGTCAGCTTTGGTTTTGTTTTCAACTGAAAATTGGACAGTCTTCATATCAGTCTTTGTTGATGTGCATTATCCATGGAGGATCATGTAACTTTCAGCATGAGCAATTATAACACAAAAATACATCAGATATAATGCCTTTTGAACATCAAAGAACATAACTGAACTATGTGGATATTTTAATAAAGTTCATAAACTAACAGATAGAGCCTAATTGAGCTTTAAACAAAAGCTAGGGAGGAGGACAATCCTAACCTCACCCATTTCAGCTCACCTAAGAATAAAGCATAACTATGAAGTATAAGGTATCCATAGTACCTTTCCAGAGTTTGGCACTGTATATTCCTCCCTACACTCCACAATCTCCCTGCAACTCTTTAGCTCGTTCCACTTTGGTGGAATTTTGGTCTATTGATGTCTCAGATAAGCAGGTTAAGTCAAAAGCCAATACACAAAATTGAATTACTTTTATTATTCTGTCTTGATTAAAAATAATGTTAGAAATGACACAAAGGTCATTTTATCAATGTATACTGAGAGGCATGAAAAACAAGACAAATGCTAATGGCTTCAGTAGTGATTCATTGCATGTTTAGAGCCTCACAGTATGAAGCAGATTATAAAAAGCACATGTCTCTACATATGTAAAATGTGTGCATATTTTTACTCTGACTCTGATGTTCCTATACTTTTGGACTTTTTATATAAAAGATTACCAGTTCCCATTCCTCTTGATCTAATTTAAACTTTTATCTTTGATTTACTCCTTTTCTTTAGACTTGGTCTGAGTTTCAATGAGATCACAACTGTTGAGAATGGATCCCTTGCTAACATCCCCCACTTGAGAGAACTGCACCTGGACAATAACCTCCTCACCCATGTTCCCCCCGGCCTACCAGAACACAAATATATTCAGGTAAAATACAAGACAAAGAGAAGGTCTGGCTTTGAATGAAGAATACAAATCTATTGATGTTGGTTTATGATTTTGGTTTAAAATAAGTTAATCAGGAATTTCAAGCTTGTCATGTAAAGGATTGGGGCACATGCAAAGCACCTCTAGCAAAAATAAAGACTTGGAAGGAGCAGGCTAAAGTTTAATTTCATTAGGGCCCAACTATAAGTAATTTCAAAATTGTTTCCAAACTATTAGGTCCATATTTTTATCTTTTCTTACATATCGTATTTTGCCCATTGGGGTTTTGTCTTGTTTTGTAGGTTATCTATCTCCATAATAACAAGATTGCTGCAGTAGGAACAGAAGATTTCTGCCCTCCAGGTTACAACACGAAGAAAGCCATGTACTCTGGCATCAGCCTTTTCAGCAACCCTGTGCCTTACTGGGAGGTCCAACCCGTCACCTTCCGTTGTGTCTTTGATCGCTCTGCCATCCAGCTGGGAAATTACAGGAAGAAATAAATAAAGCCTCTCATTAATCTCTGTTCTGCCCCACCCCTAAATCCCAGTCCTCTAGTTTTTTTTTAAAGAGAATCCACATTCGATATCATACTTTTACATTACAAAATTAGAACCTGGCTTACAGCTATAAACATCAATGAAGAAGATTGTGAAAAGAAAATGCAAAAATAATATGACAACTTGCAACACAAATCCAACCCTTTGTCTTCCAGCTAAAGAACCAGATCAATAAAACAAAGAAACAAAAAAATACAGCAGGTACTCGTGCCAGGTTGCAGTATCCCTGAAAAAACTAGTCAGCTGTCCTGCTGAGCAGGCTGCTAAAGGGTTAATCTGTGTCTAAAGGTACCCTTAACTAAAGGTGGTATACTTAATCTAGTATTTTATTATCATTATAGTACTAGTATACTTGAAGTGTATCACTGAGTTACAGAGTACAGAGTAGTGTACTACTTTTCATTTTGTAGATGAGAGAAGTAGAAAGGTTTTATTCTTCCAAATTTCAGTATTTCTTTTCTCTGCTTGCGTTTGTGTTTTTTTCTTGATTTTTTTTACCCGCTTTTTATTTTTCAGAGAACTTTTAGCACATTTACAAATGGCCATTGTAATGTCATTTAAACCAAATCTAAAATAATTGCAGTTTTTAAAGCTATAGAGTAAACAACATATTCATAGCCAATGACGCATCATCCCAAAAAAAGTAAAACTATAAGCATGCCTTTGTATTTTTCAGCAAAACATGACTGATGGACTGCAGAGTTGATCATTTTTAATGTTGGGAGCAGAAAGGTGGCTCATCTCACCCACCATTCTCATGTTTGAATGTTCTATGTATAGATACTGTATATACAACCTGTATAAACCCCTTCTTGCTTTCAAGCACTTACAGTAGTTCAAGACTTAATATATCATCAATAAAAGTGAGCTGTGTGGGTTTTGAGTGGTTCCATTTCAGGAGTCCTGAGCCAAATACAAATTATAGAAAACAATAGATTCACAAACATGTCTATGATCCATAATGAAGACAAGTGTTAGGCTTAACATACAGTAGCTGTTATTTTCTACATATATTTCTACATATGTTTTATCTTTTTGTAAAAGATGACAACATAGCTAATCACAGAGACATTTAAAAAGAGAGTTTACAGTAATGAGCTCTCTTCATCATAAGGCTTTTATTTTTCAAATGAATTGTCAGAATTTCTAAGATTTCATTATAGATGCTGTAATAGCTTCTGGGAACTGAGCTCATGCCAACACACTCATCCTGATCATTCAGTATTCAGACCAAAGTTTTATAGGGGAAAGAACAAAACCATCATTCTAACATCCAGTGCACAGTGTTTTAAGGTTACTAACCCAATTCAACATTAAAATTTATCGTTAACAGAATAAATGAATAGTCTTTATCACAAACATTTTTCTGTCTTTTTATATTTTTGTTGAATATGAAATGGCACAGTGGTTAGCATTGGTGTCGTGCAGTACTGGGGCCCTGAGTTCAATTCCGGACCCACAGTGCTATCTGTGCAGAACTTGTATTATCTCCTCATGTTCATGTGGGTTTTTGCCATATTATCAGGTTTCCTTCCATAGCCTAAAGTCTTACTGACAGGTTGATTAGCTTCATGGAAAACTAGCACTTGCATACGTGTCTGTGTTTGCATCTGTGTGTGGCCTGCGATGGATTGGCGTCCCATCCAAGATGTATCCCACCTTGCACCTGTTGTTCCACCTCCAGCTCCCCACTGTATTAGATGAAGTGATTGAAATCCAGTCTTTCTATCTGCAGTGTAGTTGTTTAGTAGAAAATAAATCTTCAAGAATAAAAATGGCATGTGAAAACACTTTCAAGACTGTGGAAACCATACACTGCAGGTGATGCATCATAATGATGTTACTATTCACAAAAAGGTATGATTGGCATTAATTTCCCTTCTTTATGAAAAATGGCAATCAGGACTAAACAAAATAATTTTCTAGAAATTTACTGAAAAGCAACAAAAGCCAAATATAGTACATGCACATACAGCAGTGGTTATCAAACTGTGGTTCACGTACCACAAGTGGTACACAGAGTGCCTCCAGGTGGTACGCCAGACAAATTTGTTGTGTGCACTGAAAAATTGGGAATTAAAAATTGAAGAATTAAAAAGTATGTAAATTTTTCATCTATAATTTACTTAATCAGTTTCAGAAAGCTTGAGACAGGTTTTCATATTTTCTATTTTCATAAAATTAGTTTGTGAGTCAAATACGCAGCGTACGTACTATGTTGATACACCTTAGGGTTTTCAAAATATCACACTTTTTATGTTCATTGGTAAAGTAACATTGATGATGAGAAAAGCATAAGTCCCTTCTGCTGCAATACCAGTATGATCTGTTTTTCTGCCAGATGTTACAAAATAATCTGTTAATTTGGTTGAAATCTCTCTCCTCGAATTGCCTTTTTGTGTTTGTTTGAGTCAACATGAGCTTGGAAGTCAAGTTCACCTTTATTTGTCACAGAGATAAAAGTACCAGGCTTACACACCAAACATTCAGCTTCAGCTTCCCATTCTTCTCTGCCACTTCAAAAACCCAGAAATGTATTTTAAGCTCTGCTGTGAATTTACACTTTGGCATTGTGTTTGAGAGTAGGAAAACGAGAAACAATTTCGCTCTCTCGTGACATAATCATACACATACAGGATGCAAACTGAATGACAACATAGGTCGTGATGCGAACTAGAGAAGTTAAGAAATTCTCCTTGTAACTATCTTTATAACTTTTGTTAATTATTCTTCATGGTGAAAATAATGGGGTTGAAATCCCGGACTTTTCTGGATATTTGAAAATTTCCCCCGGATGGAGATAGAAGGATCAAAATCAAGGACATCGCCGGGAAAATCCAGATGTATAGTAACCCTATCGGCCACCGACACTAGCTCTTCAGCTGAACCTAACACAGACAACACTGCTAGTGTTAGCAAGCATTGGAAAATGGCTACAAGGTGGTACGATCCAAATTAACTAAGTACTCAGTGCTTTTTTTATGATGTATGTGATTTTGTGTGCACACTCATGTTGGTCATTTAGATTTTCAGTGGTTCCTATGAGAGGATGACTTGTAGGTGGTACTTGGATGGTTTGGTTTGATCAGGGGTGGTACTTGGTCCAAAAAGTTTGAGAACCACTGACATACAGTTTTGAGAAGGAAATTAAAAAATCAACATGAACAGCATAAGCTGTCTCTTACTTGTTTCAGAATCAATCAAAATCTGTTATTGTCACTGTTTATCTTCTTTACACAGCTTGCTCCATTACACAGTTTAACGTTATTAAGAAAACATTATTTTATCCAGATACATTGGTTGAAATTAAGTTTACAATTATAACCATTTTTGCACAAAGACAATCCAGTGAAAAAAAGAAATATAGTAAAAACTGTTATGGACATAATAAAAAAAGGATGTTGCAGTGTTGCTACAGTATAAACAGAGAAAAAGATGGAGATAAGATATTTTTAATGATTTTGCAAATGGCTGAGGTTTTTCTTTTTAGCTACAGTACCTAGAACAATTTAAAGCATAGGTACTTTAAATTAATAAAAAAGGGTTGTGCACAATTTTTGGAACCGTTCTACTTTTGTTCACTTTTCATGACTGATTTAAGCAAACTGGCTGATTACAAATTTAAAGATGGTCTTCTCTACAGTAACTCTGAATCAACTTGCACAGTTAGGTTCTCCATATAGACTAATTACATACAGACACATTAATTATTTTCTTTATCATAAAGACTTGTACAAGACAAACCATGATTAACATGCTATGTGTTCTATGTACTGCCTTCAAACCCACAGATGTTTATACAACTGGGTTCAAAACAGTTTAGCTGAGGTTGAATAAATGACTGACCCTAGCCATATTTTGCAAAAAATTACCATCAATAAGGACCAATTCTTAGAATTGTATTATTTCAGTTATGAAGAAAAACACTAAAATATAAATACATAATAGATGCATACATTGTACAAAATGATAACAAATGGAATTGTATATTTTGTTGGTTGTGGTCACTCATTCTAATATTAAATGTTATATACTGTATTTAAAGCAACGATATTGGGAAGGTTTGTCTTCAAAGCTTCATTTATATCCTGAGAGATATTCTCTATTCTCATAGGCAATAGTGTGTTCAAAGTTTAGTCAGGACTTAAAGGAATATACAGTATAACACTGACAGGCTCAAAGAACTGAACCTTTTTGATCTTGAAGAATAAAGAATATGAGGAGACCACTCTAAAGCATACTTTCTATTTTTATTCATTATTCATTATTCACTGTTTCTATCACTATTATTCACTATTTATTCATACTTTCTATTTTCATTGCTAAAATATGTTTTATTAAATTTCTGGTTGGTTTGTTTTAGACTCATGATCCTCTGAAATTAACAGAAATATCTAGGGAAAATAAATATGGGAAAGCGCAGTGTACAATTTTAACGCAACACCCCTTCTACACTTTCTTAAATCCATGTATTTATAAATAACACTCCAAGAGAAGTACTTCACATTCCACCCCTGACTTTCGTGTAGAGTTTGTTCTGCATCTTTGAAGCTGATGCAGAAAGAGGGTTAAGCACATCTTTTCCAGCTGGAAAAATCAAAGCAGTGTCTTTGCTTTCAAAAAGAATGCTTACTATGTACTTTTTTAGAATGATAATATACTGTACATACCTTCACCACTAGCAATTACCTTCTGTTCTCAAATTACCATGAGCTTGTTGGATAATGTGCTGTGGTAATTTGAGTGAACCCAGCAGTGTTGCCAGGTTTTTAAGGAGCAGTGTATCCAAAGGCACACAATGACTCTATTACCTGGTGGACAGTCCTGGTCATGTCATGGAGAGCGTGAAGTAAGACAGAAAAATAGGAATATATTAATTTTTTGTAAATATTTTGTGAAAACCATCGCATCTATCGCAGTCAAACTTAATTGCCTTACTGATCAGTAGAATTAAATTCTATTTTACTGTTCCTGGCTGAAGACCGTGGAATCCTGGAATACTACAGTGAGTCCAATGCAAAGAAGCCAACTGGAAATAAATAAAGCTTATCTCTATACTAAAGACACATTCCTTCATATTAAATCAATCATTATGGCACTTCTTTCTCTCTGACACCCTCTTGTGGAAAATGCTTTCTGACATTTTTTGCAGTTCATTACTATTTACTGTACAGTATGTGTACAGCTTACCCCCTTTCAATGATGGAAAGGTAATGTTGTACCCTGAAGTCCCCCTGTATAAATTCTTTGTGAGGACAAGACAAGAATACATAATCAAGGTGTGAGATTCTGGAAAGCAGGAGGAATATAGCCAACTCTATAACTAACGAGCTCAAATCCTGGCTATCTCAATACATCTGTCTGTAATGTGATGCTGTCTGTAAAGTGTTAACATCATTTAATATTATCAACATTTAAGAATAATGTCTAGTTTCATGTATAGGACCTGTTGTGGGCACCATCTCATAGCACTTTCAAAACTAGTACATACAGTACAAGAATACAATAGAAAGTATAACAAATAGTCGGAATTCATACTAACAATGAGAGAACATACAATATGAATAAGAACTGTATAGTTGTCAAAAAACAGAAACAAGATTTAATTTAGCATATTGCAACTCTCACATATGATACTCTAAAAGCCTCTAAATTACAGTGTATTAAGAAAAAGCCACAGAAAAAAACACCTAATATACTAGAAAAGTACAAAATGTTAAAAAGCTTTTAAAATTACAGGAAGGTTTACAAGATTAAGATTACAGATCAGTTGTTGTGACAGTGGTTTTTGTCCTACAGATAACAGGTTTAAAACAGATGTCTGTTATACCTTTAAATATCACTAAAGCTAGGAAAATCAAGGCAAAAACAGATTCATTGATCTCTTCTGATTACAAAAGGATAATTTGAATGCCACTGATAAGAAAAATAGAGCATTAGCCTGTGGGGCTTTTTAGTTACAGGGCTACTCATGTGAGGGTTGTGGCTGGGCATGACAGGGAGAGTAATGGCCGATAAAGGGGATATATAGTATAATATATGGTGCATATCTATCTCCCCTTGTCAAACTAAGCTGACAGGCAAAAGATCAAGAGAGCAATCTGAAGGGCTTCAGTAGGAGATTGAGCACATAATGAATGAAGGAAGACTAATGGTGGAGCAGCAGGCAGGGAGTTGGTAGTGGGTGCTTAGTATTATTCATTTTATTAAAGATCTTTTCCATAGTTATTAAGAGTGCAGTTATGTTACTCAAGCTTTTGGCTTTCTGCAGTCAAAGAGTAGCATTTCCTCACACCAGCATGAAAAAGCCTATCAGAACAGAATGGTGTACAAGAGCTTGCACAAGATTTTAAACATTGTC